GAGCCAATGGGAGCAGGCATGGGAGTGGACCAATGGTAGCACGTGGGCGAGAGTGGGAGAGGGAGAGAAAGTAGAGGGAGAAAGGTTTGGTTTGGTTGGATGGATCTGGGCCCTGAAATGGGCTATGTTAGTGGTCTGGTTGGTTCTGGGGGCGAGGGTGGGAGAGAAAGTAGAGAGAGCGAGTTTGAGTTTGGTTGAATGGTTGATAGTTGATGTTGGATGGCGAGTGGAGCGAAGAGTGTGGAAGAGTGAGTCTTGTGTGGGGTCTCTAGTGGAACAGTGCGGATTGTATGAAGAGAGTGTGGAGCCATCAAGCAGTCTGGTGTGGCACTGGGCAAAGAGTGAGGATCGGCTGTATGCGAGGAGCACCGGGTTCATGGGCCATGGTGACTGAGGAGCCGGCGGGTGTCCAGTGGGGTAATACAGGCCGAGAGCTGTGTGTTTGTTAGTGAAGAGCGCCAAGCTTGGGAACCAGAACGGCTCGAAGGATGGTGCGTGTGAGAAGTGTGTGTGTGTCAAGTGTAGAGACAGAGACCCAGAAACTGTATTTGGAGAGTTGCCTGTATGTTTGTAAACTGATTTATCATAGTGCCTGCCCATAGCAATAGTCGTCAGAAGCCCGCATCACAATATATATATAAAGACTGATTTTTATGAAACTTCATGTGCTGGTAAATGGGTTCCTTCTCAATAACAGTTTTTATTTCCTATTTTTAGCATAAAAATTCAATAAGTACACTGTATTTTGTCATGCAGCACTCTGGAATGGAATAAATTCAAATTAAATCCATACGTGCTCATAGACCGCAGTAATTTAAATACCATACCTAAAAGGTTAAAGAAAAGTAATGAGCAATATGTGAACCTGTTTGGAATGGTAATCCTAATTTGGTAGACTTCTTTTTTAGTAAACTGCAATAGCATTTCAACAAAAAACCCTTATTTAGGCCGGGCGCAAACGGAGCCACTAGCCACAGCCACTTGTGGCCGCCACAAGCTGCGGTCTGTATTTTGTATGGAGTTTTAATAGACTC